AATTTTTGGACCATTGCATAATTATTCCTGGAAGTGGTATCCTTGAAAATTGTCCTTTGTGTATTGTCATTTTCTCGACCCTTCAGATGGCTGGGGTTAAAGAACAATTCTCCTGAGATAAGCAAAATTTTATTATAAATTAGACAAATAAATGGCAAGTATTTATATTATTGTTAGATTTGTGATATTTGAGGCATTTGGAGGATTACTAGGGAATTCCAGGGAGACAAGTGAGATACTTAAAAGTCTAGCAAATTGATTTCTGCATGTAGGGTAAAGGACTGAGATCTTTTGGTTCATGTAAAATAGGACTAGCAAGTACCATAGGTGTCTGAAATTATATCGCATGAAGTTACAAAGTGGTGTCTTGTACCTCTTCCCTGTATCACCCTTCTTCTGGTGCTTAAAGTAGGAATGCTGCTTTGATATTTTTCTAGAGTCACCATTGGATGCTTTGTTTTCTTTCTTCTGGAGAAATTTGTGATAAAAATATAGCTTACAGTGCGTCTGCAGGGATTGAAATTAGACAATACAAAAAATATTTTAATGTGAAAATTCCTTTGCACCTATGAATCTTTAATAGCAAAAGAGTTGGAGGGCTTTACAGGCATCATATTTGAATCCCTTCTTCATGTGCATCATCCTGCTTTTCTATTGCATATCTCAGAATGAATCAACTCCTTTCCATAATTATTTGGTGATTTAAGCAGCAATTACAACGTACTAATCAATTTTGCTCCTGTGCTTTGCTATCAGGCATCAATTATTTACCTGCAGAAAGACTTTCACCTAACTTTACTGCAGATTGCCACCCCCCCCCAGCTTTACTGAGGTAAGACTGACAAATAAAAAGTATACATATTTAACATATACAATGCAATGGTTTCATATACATTGTGAGATGATGATCACCATTAAGCTAATTAACATAACATCACCTCACATACCATTTGTGTGTGTGTGTGTGGCTAGAAAACTTGAGATTTAGACTCCTAGCAAATTTCCAGTATACAATGCATTGCTATTAACTGTAATCAGTCACCATGCGGTACATATCCAAAATTTATTCCTCTTATAACTGAAAGTTTGTACCCTTTGACCAACATCTCCCCATTTTCCCCACCCCTAGCCAGGTAACCATCATTCTACTCTCTGTGAGTTTGACTTTGTAAGATTCCACATGTAAGTGACATCATGAAATCTTTGTCTTTCTGTGTCTGGTTTATTTCATGTGGCATAATGTCCTCCAGGTTTATCCATGTTGTCACAAATGGTAGGATTTCCTCCTTTTTAAGGTTACACAGCCAATGGTTATACATAAAGACCTCAGTATCACTAATTATTAGGGAAATGCAAATCAAAAGCACAATAAGATATCACCTCACACCTGTTAGAATGGCCATTATCAGAAAATCAAAAGATAACAAGTGTTGGCTTGGATGTGGAGAAAAAAAAAAATCCCTGTGCACTGTTGGTGAAAATGTAAATCCGTGTAGTCATTATGGAAAACAGTGTGAAGGTCCCTCAAAAAATTGGAAGTAGAACTGCCATATAATCCAGAAATTTCATTTCTGGGTATATATCCAAAGGACACAAAATTAGTATCTCAAAGAGTTATCTGCACCCCCATCCTCATTGAAGCATTATTCACAGTAGTCAAGATATGGAAATGGATAATTTTACTGCAATTTAAGAATTGAGAGTGGTCATGGGGCACCTGGGCAGCTTATTCGATTAAGTGTCTGTCTTTGGCTCAGGTCATGGTCTCACCGTTCCCGAGTTCAAGCCCCTTATTGAGCTCTGTGCTGACAGCTCAGATCCTGGAGCCTGTTTCAGATTCTCTGTCTCCCTCAGTCTCTGCTCCTTCCCACTCATTCTCTGTCTCTCTTTCTCTCTCAAAAGTAAATAAACATCAAAAAAGGTTTTTTTTTTTTAAATAAAAAAAATTGACAGTGGCCAGATTTTCACAAGAAACTATGATCTTTCACAATAATTTCAGGCCTTGATTCTTTTCATTGTGGCAAAATTGTTATTTTCACCTTCTTTTGATTCTTTGTTTGAGAAAGTTGAGGTTGAATCAACCAAAGCTGTATAAAAAAGGACAAAATACTTGGAGCAAATATAGTCAGTTTGTGTGTGTGTGTGTGTGCGCGCGCGCGCACATACGAGAGTGTTAGAAAAATCAAATGGAAATAGGCCTTTTTTCATAGATCATTCTGTAAGCAATTCTGCCTTACCTGGATCCAGAGACTAGGATAATAATAGCACATAACTTTTGTCCACTCTGTTTAAGTAATTAAGAGATTAAGTAGAAGGACTGTAAACAGAAGCTAGTTTTTTTTTCTTCTTCTCTAAAGGTATTATCCAATTATAGATAAACAATTACATAATTTTTTAATGTGTATATATACTAGATATTGCATGGGACATACTTCTTAAAATATATCATTTGAAATTCAAATTTACTGGATATCTTGTTTCTCATTTATTTATTTTTGCTAAATCTGACAACCCTACACATGAGGAAACATCCAGAGGAGACGAGGATTCAAACTGTGCAGAAAATGAGCATTCCAGGCAAAGGGAACGGTAGGTGCAAAAGCTATGAGTTGAGAGCAATATCCATGGTGTTCAAAGAATAGCAAGAAGGCCAATGTGATTGAGTAAATGAAGCCAAGGGAAGATATAGTCAGAGGGTTGAGAGGAACTGACATTTGAAGGGACTTTGACTTTTATTTGGATATGGGAATTTCTTAGAAGGCTTTGTGCAGAGTGACAGGACATGGCTAGTATTCTGAAAAGATCACTGTGGCAACTATGTTGAGAATAGGTCCTAAAGGGAAAGGATGAGCAAGCAGTGCAGTACTGGGGCTACTGTGAAACTTAGATGAGAAATGATAGTGATTGTGACTAAAGTCCTTGTAGTGTATATTATGACAGGTGACTGGATTTTGGGTATTTTGAAGATGTGATTTACTCATGATCTCATATGTGACAAAAAGAAGAGTAAAGGATGACTAGAGTAATACTGTTCTTATTTACTGAGATATAGAAGGTCATGTATAGAGCAGTTTGTGTGTCTTTGTAAGACCTGAGGGGAACACCTCAGATTTTTTTTCCAACAATAAGATCTCGTTGTAGTAATACAGTGAGCTTCAAAATTACAAGTTGTGTACATTTTTTTGTATGGATGTGACACTCCAATGAAATATTTGAAAATAAATAAACACCCAACAGCAACAAGAAAAACTCAAAATGTTAAAATATGTAAGTCCTGCAAATAAGATCTGAGACTTTATTAAATATCTAACAACTAAGTATGAATGCTTATAAACCAGCAACAAAACTGAATGCAAATTCAGAAAAAAAATCACAGGGCAGTGTTTTAACATATCACTGACTTTATGTCTCTAGATTAAACTAACAACAACTGGGATGTGGGAAGAATAGGTAAGATCTGGTGACTGGTGAGATAAAGGAGGAAGGGAATGTGAAGTCAAACTCCTGTCTTACTTTGAGCCACTTCAAAGATGGCCCTGCCCTTCCCTGAGATGTGAAATGTAGCTTAGGCATAAAGGAGTAGGGAGAGAGTCACCACTGATAGCTTCCTCCCCACCTGCTATTTCCTGTCCTCTTTCAGGGGAGGATGGTTTAGGAAAAAAAAAGAACAAATTCAAATGAAATAATTTATACAGTTTATTTATGAACTGTATTTATCATCCAGAAAGTTTATTGTTTCACATATTTTCAATTCTAACAATTATCTTTATAGGTATAGAGTTTTTCCTTAAAAGAGAACAGAAGAAAACCCATATATGTAATCATTATATTTGCAATTAAGCTGACTGAAAAAGAGAAAGCAAGAGAGACATATTTTGATATAGAATCAGGAATAAACTTTTAAAGAAGAAATATTTTATTTAGATTTTATTTCTTCATCTCTGAAAAAAAGAATAATGTTAAGTTGGTATTTATGCCATATATAAAGTCTCAAAAACAGAATTGGAGTTTCTCTGACTTTATAATTTCAACATTTTCTTTTTTCTTGTAAGTTAATATTTCTTACATAAACCCCTGAGAGTCAATAGCCTTTTAAAATAACAGCATTGTGATAGGCTTAGGCATTGGAAAAAATTCAGAACTTTGTTTGTATTTTAGTGATTCATATCTGGATATGCAGCATGTGTAGTTTCTGATTATCTGATCAACACTATCTACTCATATGGTCGTTGGAAACTTATACTTGATGAACTTTCTCTACTTCATATTGAGATTCTTTTCTAAGAAGCTTTAAAAAAACTATTACAAATGAATAGTAATCATATTCTTTTTTTTTTTTAACGTTTATTTATTTTTGAGACAGAGAGAGAGACAGAGCATGAACGGGGGAGGGGCAGAGAGAGAGAGGGAGACACAGAATCGGAAACAGGTCCAGGCTCTGAGCCATCAACCTAGAGCCCAACGCGGGGCTCGAACTCACGGACCGCGAGATCGTGACCTGAGCTGAAGTCGGACGCTTTAACCGACTGAGCCACCCAGGCACCCCAGTAGTAATCATATTCATTTTCCTTAACTAAGTATAGATTCTGTCTTAAATTGTTCAATATTACCTTTTGTAATACAGTAAGAATAATCAAAAGAAAAAAGAATATAGCGATTGTCATGAGTTAATGACTTTCAGGGTTTTAAATCACTGGAGCAATGTATATAGTTAGAACTCTCATCACTGCTTTCAATCTGTGTTTGAAGTATACTTCAAGTTACTGATTCCTACCCAGCAGAGATTTTCATTTGCCAACAAAGACGCATAAAGCTTTGCTGTTTTCCTGCAATGAATAATTGTAAGTAAATATAAACTGTTTGTAGAGGGATGAAGGAACAGGACATAGAATTAGAATGGCCAGATTGCCTCTGTGTTCTTATTGATAACCTTGCTGCACAAGTGTGGACTCTGGACCAGCAGCATCAGCTTTGCCTTGGATCCTGTTAGAAATGTAGAAAGTCAGGTTCCACTGCGGACCCACTGAATCAGAACCTACAAGATCCCTGGGTGATGTTTATGCCAACTGGAAAAGCACTGGAGAGGGAGCGGCAGAGGGAGGGTAAGGAGGAACAAACGGAAGAGAAGAGGGATAGGGTAGGGGGAGGAAGGGAAGGAAAGAGATCTGGGTGGTTGAGATTGGGATGGGGATTGAGGAAGGATTTGTAGAGAGGAGGAGGGAAAAAGGAAGGGTTATAGATGTTTTAGCTCTGTGTAGTTTTAGTATATATTTTACAACTGTGGTTCTGAGACAGAGGCAAGTATGAGGAGCAGGTATTGGGTTTTTATAATGTGTATGAGCCTCAGATGGTTACTCTTCCCTTTTATTCTAAATTTATTTATTTATTTTTAGTAATCTGTACATGCAGGGTGGGGCTCTAACCCACGACCCTGAGATCAAGACTTGTATGCTCTTCTGACTGAGCCAGCCAGGTGCCTCTGGTTACTCTTCCTTTAAGTTGATAATTAATATTTTTAAATATTATAGTAATAATTTCCATGGATTAATTTAAAGAATAACTTTAATTTTGCAAATGTGGACTGGTTCTTTCCAGATGTAATGAATTAAAAATTTCTCCACGTATTCATGAAGTGAGTCCATAATCATTTGTCTTCTATAGTTTATGTCCTCAACATCCTATTCTCTTCCTTTATTTTAGTAAAAATATCTCAAAAGCTGTCATTAATGACTGACCCAGTGGTCTTTTCTGAATGTAAAACTTCGTCTTTTAAACTGTTTTAATCCCATCATCCCATCATCATGTATGATTTATGGAAGTGCCATAGTTTTCTCTTTTATAGATATTTTCTAAACTTCTATGACCAAAAGAAGAATTTTTATGGTGAGAAAAATGTGGTTTATTTATAGTACTGAATCAAAGAATTTCAACTAGTCACTCTTTGATAACATATTTTGAGTCCTGTGATATCTTCATATTTCATATTAAGGATAAATATAGCTTGCAGGAGCTGAATCTTTCTAAAATAGAGATACCGTCATAACATTTCACTTTGTGAAAGTCCTTAATAACTTTTTTTTCCCTGAAGGAAACATTTCAAGGCATGTCGTGGTCATCCTGGCCTCCTCTACTCTGGTTCTTGTCAGTCTTAGACCCTTTCCTTTCTGTGCTCATGTGAACCACCTGCCCTGGTGAACCATAGCCCTACCCAGATAGCTAAATGTGTGCTTTGAGCCAAAGAAGCCACTCAGGAAGTGAATCATTGAGAGAATGAGTGGGAAGTTAACAGGCATACAAGATGAGGAAATGCTACCTAGGGAAGTAGACATGAACAAAGGCAGAGAGGAAGGTAAGCTAAATTTCTGTCAAGTGTTTATTGTCCCTCACCTGATTGTGAGGTCCTCAAGCCAGAACCATGTGTTATTCATCTTTTTAGTCTGGTCACCCACTTTTCAGAAGCATGTTCAAACAAAGTGGGTTGAGTGATGCATTTTGAGGGAAAAAGTGAAAAGTTCCAACTTCACAGTTGCTTATCATACTTTGAAAATGTAGGTAAATAAGCAATGTTTGCTTGAGACCCAAAAATTCTGAGTTTCATCTTTTTAAACCTGTTAGAAAATAGAAGGGGTATTAGGTTGGGTTAAGAATTTTTGGGGGTGCCTGGGTGGCTCAGTCGGTTAGGTGTCTGACTTCGGTTCAGGTCATGATCTCACAGTTCGTGCATTCGGGCCCCACATTGGGCTCTGTGCTGAATGCTTGCTCAGAGCCTGGAACCTGCTTTGGATTCTGTGTCTTCTCTCTCTGCCCCTCCTCCACTCATGCTCTGTCTCATTCTGTCTCTCAAAAATAAATAAATGTAAATTTAAAAAATTTAAAAAAAAGAATTTTTCAGGAAAAGTCAGATTTTTTTTTAATGTTGAACATACTAATAGGGTTTATTCTAATCATAATTTTCCAGATTTCACTGCAGGCTCATTTTGTTTTTATGCTGGGAACCCAGCATTTCATTATTTGCAATATCTATATATTCAATGAAGTACTTTAAAAGTTTTATATCAGGTCTTTAAAATATGATCAACTCTATTGAAATTTTTCAACAATATGTTTATATTAATGCAAATCCAGTTTTTAAATTTATTACTTAGTATTGTAATAAATAATTTTAATTTATTATAGTGTTCCCAGTTTGGAATATTTATCCTATTTATAATGTTAAACATGGATTTGGGTATAAAGTAATGATCTTGCTTATGTTTCATTGAGTTTCTCAAGAAGAAAACATTGTTTATATAAATGAGTAAATTGATATAATGAAATCAGACACTACAGAGAACTTTTGCAGTCTTAGGGAAAAGATGGAAAGCAATGATAGTTCCAGGCATTTCCACAACATCCAGCCACAGAAAGAAAATAAACATTTTAGAATTACTTTCTTAGATTATTAAAGGTAACATAATTGCACTGAAGAATTTGGATCGTTTTAGTTGCAAAATCATGGGCTTTTTTTATTTAAAAATTTTTTTTCATAACGTTTATTCATTTTTGAGACAGAGAGAGACAGAGCGTGAATGGGGGAAGAAGGTCAGAGAGAGAAGAAGACACAGAATCTGAAACAGGGTCCAGGCTCTGAGCGGTAAGCACAGAGCCCGACGCGGGGCTTGAACTCACGGACCGCTAGATCATGACCTGAGCTGAAGTCAGACGCCCAACCGACTGAGCCACCCAGGCGCCCTGCAAAATTATGTTTTAAAAAGCTAGAGACTATGGGGCGCCTGGGTGGCGCAGTCGGTTAAGCGTCCGACTTCAGCCAGGTCACGATCTCGCGGTCCGGGAGTTCGAGCCCCGCGTCGGGCTCTGGGCTGATGGCTCAGAGCCTGGAGCCTGTTTCGGATTCTGTGTCTCCCTCTCTCTCTGCCCCTCCCCCGTTCATGCTCTGTCTCTCTCTGTCCCAAAAAAATAAATAAACGTTAAAAAAAAAAATTAAAAAAAAAAAATAAAAAAATAAAAAAAATAAATAAAAAGCTAGAGACTGAAAAAGCAAAATATGTATCAGTGTCTTAAAACTGCATGTTATATCTTCAAGAGAGAAACTTGGAAAGCAACACATTTTAAATTTACTGAAAAACATTTCTATTCTGCTCTCTGCTGACACTCAGAATGAATGGAAAAATCGTTAAAAGAAAACTGAATGCATTTTATATTTGATAGTAAAAGAATTCTTGGTTTGGTCTCATTTAAAAGGCATTTGGCAGAGGGTTTAGTAGCTGGGACACTGATCTGTGGCCTGTGTAGAAAACAAAGTAGAGTGATACTGAATGAGGTGTAGAACAAGACCATGCCGCGATGAAATGATATGTTATTAGTATGTGGATTCTGTCTTTTCTTAGCAATATCAAAATTGTACCAATCTGTTTTTCTCTCAGAATAGCCAGCATCATAGCACCTATTAATTCATATGTAACGGTTTTGTGTCACGTCTAGAATTCATAAATAATTTTTTTAAAGTGTTGGGGCATCTGGATGTCTCAGTCGGTTGAGCATCTAACTTTTAATTTCGGCTCAGGTCATGATTCCAGGGTCATGGGATTGAGCCTTGCATTGGGCTCCATGCTGAGCATGAAGCCTACTTGGGATTATCTCTCTTTCTCTCTCTTTTTCTCTCTCTCCCCCTCTCTGCCCCTCTCCCTTGCTCATGCTTTCTCTCTAAAATAAAGTAAATAAATAAAAAATAAAAGTGTAGTGTAGCATGATATACAATAAATATTATTTAATATAAATATTATTTCCTGTACACATATTCTATATAACATGAGATGTAATAAAGTTTTCCATTATAATGTTTCCATTATTGCATCATACATGATTTGTTGGCAAATATTATATTTAAAATACTTCACTTTGGTAATCTAATTCAAATCTTCAGTAGATGCTTTAGGAAAAGATTGATCATTTTCAAGGGTGAAATTTAGTACAGTGTAGTACCAGAATGTCATTTTATATTAAGCCTCCCTCATATACTCAAATAATTTAAAAAAAATTTTTTTTAACTTTTATTCAGTTTTGAGAGACAGCGAGAGACACAGTGAGAATGGGAGAGGGGCAGAGAGAGAGGGAGATACAGAATCCCAAGCAGACTCCAGGCTCTGAGTTATTAGCTCAGAGCCTGACACGGGGTTCAAACTCACGAATGGTGAGATCATGACATGAACCGAAGTCGGACGCTAAATTGACTGAGCCACCCAAGCGTCCCCCAAATAATTTAAAAAATAAACATAAAGCCACAATGCCTGGTATATATTAGTACCTCAATAAATTGTTAATTGATAAACATAGTCTTTCAGTGGTTTTAATCTGTGTGTGTTTGTTTTTTTTTTTACTTTAAATTCCAGAAAAATACAGAGTTGAGAGAGAGGGATTATTCTTTTCCAGACAGTCTCTAAGCATTAAAATTCTAGTTTTCCTTTGAGTTTATTATATAGAAGTTTTAAGTTCTGTTAAGTGACTTTTTTTATATTTTAAATTATGTTGGCAAACTGTTAATAATTTCTCAGCTTGTTAAACACAATAATATATGTCAATGTAGTTAGTAAAAAATAATAGCAAATTACTTCAATCTGAGAAATACAGTAAAACCTTGGATTGTGAACAGTAAAAACTTGTTCTTCCAGTGTTCCGCCAGGTGAGCAAACATTGCTAATAAATTTTAACTTGATAAAAAGCGAGGTCTTGCAATACAAGTAGTACTTGATGCCAAATGGCACATGATCATAGTTGAGCCAATGGTTCTTGAAATTTGCTCTGATATACAAATGCTTTGGATTACAAGCTAGTTTCCGGAATGAATTACGCTCACAAACAAAGGTTTTAAGTGTATCAAAAGTTATAGTAATTGATGCTGAAAGGAATATGCAGTAAGTTTTTTATGTTCAAGAATGTACTCAGATTACTATGTAAATGTACCATTTTAACAAGCTGTCCTTGCACTCTCATAAAAGGCAAATATAGAGCTTTATAGCACCAATTTGTTTTCAAGAACACTTCCACGTATTTCCAGATCCTAAGTGCTTGTAGCCTGAAGTTCCATGATTAATTTGGAAAGTTG